TAGACCCAAAAGACAAGCGAAATACTTAATCATTCTCTTCCTAGGTTACAACACTTCTGATGGGAAGGGTTAAGCAGTCATCATCTAAAATATTACCTCAGAGTCTCGTGTGTATTTCCTTTTTCAAGGAAAGGACCATAGAGGGAGGTTCATTTAGTGTTCAAGTGTTCATAATTCAAATCTCAAACACTAGGGGAACTATGAATATTGAAGAAATACACCACAAAATCAGAGCTCAATGGCCAAATAAAAAACCTTGAAGAAAAGTTTTAATTTTCAATTACAAAAATTGAATGGGAAGTGAGGAACTGAAGAATCAACAGATAATTGAATATTCAACAGAAAACTCCCAAGAGCTATTAGGTTAAGGCTACAAATATAGTCACGAGATAAATATTCTCGTACTTGTCTTGCTATAAAGTAAGCAATTATGAAAATATTGTACATGAATATTTATTTTGAAAGTTCAAATAAAACATATTCAAATTACTTTATATTTCATATTTTTACCAATATAAAGATGAGACGTCATCTTCATCAGTGTCGTTTATATAAAAGGACCCATTTATATATATATATATAAGACCATGTGTATTTAGTCATGGCATATTAAAGCATTTATTCTACTTTGATAATGCAAGAAAAAGCTCAAAATTTAAAGAGCAAAAACATACATAGGATATGTTGAAAGTTAACATTGATATTGGTTTTCATAAAAGTTTCCAAGGAACAAATAAAAAAACATCCAAGTAACATTGTTGAAAGAAAACACTAGGGAGCATCTTGAGAAGGAGCGAAATGTTCATCTTGAGGAGAAGATAAGGTTGAGGATCAACAGGATCAACCTCTGAACTGTCTTTTCTTAAATCACCCTTATAACTTTTATCCTCGGGTGTAGAGAAACTTTGACGTTGTTGAGTAGTTTTGATAGCATCCTTAGCCTTGGCATTCTCAGCCTTGAGGTCAAAGACTTCTTGGCTAACCTCGGTCAAGGTTTCAAGACGTGTGTTCTGGAAGGCCCAACTCACATCTAGAGTTAGTTTATCCTCGAGAGCCTCGTAATCTTTTTTCAATTGTTCAACTTCAGCCCTCAAATCTTCTTTTGCAGTCTCAGAAGCTTCATAAGAAACCTTCAAAGGTTCAAGGGTGGCCTCAAGGAACTTAAGTTTGTTGGAAAAGGTGGGAAGATCTTCTTGGGCTTGAGTCAATGTTTGAACTAGATCACCCGCGTACACTTCCTTTTGAATCAGAAGTTCTTTCAAACTTCGACTCTCCTCGGTGGCCCTTGAATGTTGCTCATCAAATGTGGCTTCCATCTTATCCTTTCCCTTTTCAGCCTGATTGGTGGAAGCTTTTAATACTGCTACCTCAACAATTAATACTGCTAACTTAGCAGTAGTGATCCTAAGCTTATGCTCATAGGTCTCTTTTTCATCAGCCAAAACATTCGTCTCTAGATGGAGACTCTCGAATTGTTCCTTCCAGTTATCAACTTTCATGCTCAACTCTACAACTTGATGTTCTGTCCAAGCCACTCTCCTCATCAGCTCTGCACCTGTTAAGTTGATCTGCAAAAAGGCAAGGGAAAAGCATTACAAACTTACAGAAAGAAGAAGTGAAAAATATAAGAGAAGAAAAATATACCTTGAGAGAAGAATGAATAACATCATTCATCAGAGTGATAGAGGAGTGGGATTCAAGTTTCTCCTTTTCAAGAGGGCCAATCAATAGTTTTAACCAAACCGTAGCTCAGTTGGATTTTTTCAATAAGGCGATGCCTTTGGCGACTTCAATCATGACCTGCTTCATACCTCTCCCACTAGGTGGGCCAGCTTTATCACGAGGAACAACAACAGGGGTAGTAGCATGTGTAGTGGCAGGATCAATGAGGCTCATAAGAAGTCTGAGGGCTGATTTTGAGGAGCATTGGATTCATCATCCAGGACGACCCGCCTCCTAACTCTAGGTTTCTTCACTAGATCCCTTAATCCTCTTCCTCTTCCTCTTCATCAGAGGCACGATATTCTTTTTTTTCCTCTTTGATGAGTACACACTCAAAATCCGCTCCTGAACAGTGCTAATGTGTAGGGCATGTTCAAATCCGCTTCTGCTCATGAACATCTTCAAATCCGCTTCTGCACGGAGTCACATGAGCAGAAGCGGGACGAACTCTACGGATTGTAAATCCTGAAAGTTACAAAGGATGTTAAAATAAGAAGGAAAAAGTAAAAAATACATGGTAAAGTAAATAATATACCGTGTGTTTTAACTTTCCACCCAAAATTTTGGTTCTAAGATTTTTGCTCCATAGGAGCGGCAGACATCATTTTTACTTCAATCACGAAAGTCGGAAAGTTCACCAAAAACTTTCGTGATTGCTAAAAAAGAAGAAAATATGAGTAAGAAAGTTAGTATTTTAAAGAGAGAATAGTGTAATGAAGAGGCAAAGGGAAATACTCATGTGCAAAGTTTCAATTCTCGGGAAAGGGCATGTTCTCTTACCCTACAAATGCACAAGTGGGAACAACCACGAACCGAGCATACCAACCTCAGTCACGATCATCTTCAGTACTAACCAAGACACTTTTGCTTTTTGTTGCAAGTGCTAAAAATACCCACGCAAAATGTTTTTGGAGAATACATATGGAGGAGATGACGAAAAGAGAAAGGGGCGGAAACTAAACTCGATAACCGAAGGCAAGCCACTGCCCTCTATATTATCAAGACTATTTTCAAAAGAAAAATATTGAAGTAACGACAGAACTCAATGATCACTGGGTTAATAGGAGGTTTGAATCCTAAATTGAAAGGATATGTGTAAACGAACGAATAACTTTCATGATAAGAGGTTATTCGATCGTTCACACTAGGGGCTGTGACTGGGAAGTCATGTTTCCAATAACTGTCACGGTGTACTAAAGGAAGAGGACCGGAGTTGATTAAACAAGGATGGTGATCAGCAGGTTTAAGTGCCGCTATGAAAGAAACTTCTTTTTTGCATGATTAACAATCAAATTTAAAAGAAAATTCATGAGAAACGATCTCATAAACTACATGTCCAGGTAATGGTTCGTTTTGATCTCTAGCTTTTGAAGAAAATCTAGGGGTGGATGGGGATTTGGATTTGAAAGAAGAAGAAGGTTTAGAAGAATTTTTCTAAGAAGAAGTGGACTTCGACTAGATATGAAGCCTAGGCTACGAAGCATGTCACCTCTATTTCTACTCCTAACCGGAGCCATAGAAGGAGAAAGTTCGTCTATTATGATAGCCCTCCAAGGATCAGATATTAAAAAAGGGTTTGAAGATCGAAAAGTTGTTAATTATAGCAGATGCACGAAGAGAAAAGAAAAGTTGCAGAGAAAGCTTAGAATGGAATAAAATAGAGAAAAAAATAAGTTTTGGAAGATGTATGATGCGGTATTTGTAAGGTAAAGGCGTCATTATGAGTCGTCATCATGGAACCGTCATGTCGAACTGATACAGCCGTAGAAATCCTAAAAAGACGTTGTAAACTGCAAAGCCAATCACAGTAAGACACGTGTCTCGAGCATTAAATGGAAGAGACGTACGTCTCTTTGCTTCAGAGGTAAATCATGATGATACGGGGAAGAGGTGGCAAGACATTCCCGCCATAAATAAACTTACCACTTCCCGAATATTCTGTTGAGAATATTCATAAAGTTGGGGAACTATCTGTATTGGTCGAAAAATAAACTCACCACGTAGACTAATGATATGCTGACAGGTGTCATGAGAGTCAGAGCAATAAAGAAAAATGAAGGTTAAGAGAAGCATGGGTAAAACACCCACAAGATTGCTTATGAGGATACCACACCTGGCAACTTGGAAGAAAGAGATAGAAGGAAGGGTCATTAATATCCATGAATATGGAAAAAAATTGACATAATCCCTGATTCCGCGCGATTGACTATTATTACCATAATTATTACAAATTACCCAAGTAACATGCAATCAATGTAATAAATATTAGTAACGAGGGAGAATTAAGTAGAGCAAAGCAGTTATATATTGTATCTATATAAACCATCGTTACCATATTTTGTAGAATCATCGAGGAATTCACGAAATTATACTATCAATCATTTATATTTTATTCTCTCCAAATTGAAGAATCTTGTTCTCTACTTTTGGAAGGAAGCTATGATTATATAAGAGTTCTTTTTCCTTATTCTCTCAATATTTTATTTTCATTATTTCTTATTTATCTATATTAGGAATAGTGAAATAAAACCGGTTATTAGAAAATCGAATAATTTAATTATTTTCTTTGACCATAAAAATTAGTTTTGGGTTAAACAAATTCACGCATGAGACAAAGTCGAAAAGTATTTGTTATATTTTAAGGACTAGTAGGAACATATAATATGTAGCATAATTTGTACGGTTCCTTATCGAGTATTTACACATGAAATGAGAGAAACTAATGATAAGTGCAACTCATCAAAAACAAATGAATGATACGGCCATGGTGACATAACTATAAGATCTTCATCTCAATCTTTGAAAAACCTTAAAGCTAGCTTAGGTCGTCATGCGTGACCTTTAGCTTTGAGTTTCGTACCAATATTTTATATTTGCGTTGAACTAATTTAATTGTCTTCTTCTGATTAGAGACGTGTCCAGCTAGCCAATTGTTGTAATACAAAATTTTCTACTTCAATAAAAGAAAAAAACAACCTAGGGACAAGAGCACAAGTTTTGGTACGGTGTTTATGGCCCCACTAGTAAGTGATTGCTACCAACTCCTGGCTCTTCTTTTAAGCAGTTGCATTTCTGAACGAACACTGAGAACTTTTAGTTTGAGAGACAAATATTAACAAAATCCCTGCAGGAAAAACTTCTCCCGCATAATTTCAAGCAGTTTAAATATCAGGTAACTAACGGTTGTCAATCAGATCATATAGGTAAAAAATGTAGTCCTCTTAAACTTTGAAGAATATATACATGAATGAATGTACCGTGTCGTCTTTGGATCTTTTATATAACTAGGCTGGAACTTATTGAGATACATAGACCCCTCCTAGTCCACTAAATATGATATTCTTGCATGTTCTGCTATTTTAAACACATATCTTTCTTTATCTGTTCATATTTCCATCCAACCAAAGCAAGTCTTCCTGTGGATAGTCTTTATTTACAGTGCATGTGACTGAAGATAAGAAGAATGCTAGTACTATGTAACACTAGTTATAAAAGTTCTACTACGTTTTTTTGTGTTAATAAATAATCTCTTCTGCTTTTCTCGTTTTATTATTTTGGTTCAGCAGTAATGAAGATTCAGGGAACTCCATTAAAAGGCATTACAAAGGATATTAGAGGGCGCGTGTCTTGCTACAAGCAGGATTGGATTGCCGGTATCAGATCCGGGATAGGGTATATGTTTTTCATTATTTGGTTTTAAAACAAACTTAATTTTGCAAACAATTTTTTACATGTTTCTTGCTTCTAATAAAACTTTGTCTTTTATATATATATATATATATTTATATATATACATGCCAGGATATTGGCTCCAACTACGTATATATTTTTCGCATCAGCTCTTCCAGTGATTGCTTTTGGAGAACAGCTGAGCAGAGATACAGGTTCTTTCAAACTCTTATTGTCAGATGAGGGTCAAAACAAACACACTTTCTTGATAATTTTCTTGATTTGCATTAATTGTCTTGATTTGCAATGTTAGATGGGAGCCTGAGCACTGTGGAGACTTTAGCTTCTACAGCTATTTGTGGTATCATTCACTCCATATTAGGTGGGCAACCTCTATTGCTATTAGGAGTTGCAGAACCTACTATTATTATGTACAGTTACCTCTACAAGTTTGCCAAAGGGAGAGATGACTTGGGACAGACCCTTTACGTAGCTTGGACTGGATGGTATAGTGTGTTGGAATATGTTCAATTTTCAGATACAAAATTACCTCATAACTCTTATATAAATGATGCCAAATAAATTTGCAGGGTTTGTGTGTGGACAGCTCTAATATTGATTCTTCTAGCAATATTTAATGCCTGCTCCATCGTCAATAGATTTACAAGGATTGCTGGGGAGACTTTTGGCATGCTTATCACCTTGCTTTTCATGCAAGAGGCAATTAAGGTATTCTAACTGCACAAAAAAGATTAATTTGTCTATTAAACAATGTAGTCTTAATCAGGTTGCATTGCTAATGTAATTTTAATTTGCAGGGATTGGTGAGTGAGTTTCACATCCCTAAATCGGAGGACCCAAGTTCAGAGAAATATAAGTTTCATTGGCTTTACACAAATGGGTTGCTCGGAATAATATTCACTATTGGCCTTCTCTATACAGCCTTAAAGAGCAGGAAAGCAAGGTCATGGTGGTATGGCACAGGTTTGTATATCCAACCCTTTGATGCTATCGTTGGTCCTCAAAGTAGACAAAAGTATAAGTGACCATTAAGTAATAACGTGATTCGGAAGTCGGATATCGAACCCACAGAGACTAAGAGTAATTGTTAACTAAGCTAACTTAAGATCAGTTAAATGTCCAAAATAATCAAGAATGATGGTTTTTCTACTGAACTACTATTGCAAAAATTAAACAAGCAATATTAATTATACTGATAAGAGCGCAAGAATTTGTGATCGGATTCTAATCAGAGGAGATGAAGATTCCAAGGTTGTGGTTGGTTAATCATTGAGTTCGTAACTACACATGTTAATCTGAATTATCTATGGTTGCTAGTTGACCGAATCGTTTGTATAAATAGCATGGTTTCATAATATTGTCTCTCCATTCACAATATATCAACTCTATATTCCTACGATATTGAATCTATCATAAATGAATATAATACGACATTCAACTAAGCGAGACTATTCGATATATTCCTATCACAATCGTGAAATCTTTCCCCAAGCCACGGGTTCAGAAACAAGCTCTCTCCAATTCTGCTCTAATCTAAACATAGCTTTTCCAAGCACATCAAAGATAGTAGGATAAATTGGTGGCCACACATTTCACAAATTGAAACTAGAATTAGAGAAACAAGCAACGTTGATAACTCGAACTAATAAAGATATAATTAATAAACGTCAATATTCATGATAATCGCAACCCTAAAAAATTGAGGGCTTAGCCATTCATAATTATAGTAACAATCATCCATGTGTTTTGCATCAATAAATTATAAAGAAAAGATGAACGAATAAAAAACCCAATATTTTTCTCCTCCAAAATTGCCTCGCACGTTGATCTTGCCTCTAAATAATGTCCAACCCTCATATTAGGTTTAGAGACTCTTTTATACTTGTTAGGAACATCCAGGAACGAAATAACATTCTCCAAGTCGAAATAGGAGAGTTTTCGCGGTTGGGCGCCACAAATGGCGCAGGGTGCCAAGCCGGATGGCGAAGATATTTTGGCCTGTTGCCTTTGCCGTTTAGAATGGCGCCAAGCACCAATTTGGACACCCAATTTTATGCAATTTTGTGCTCAGCTGCCTTTGGCATTTTAGTTGGTACCTTCCGCCCTTCGGGATGCCAAACTCAGACTCCCTCACAATTCTTTCGTTTTGACTTCAAATCGCGCGCATTCTTTTTAAATCACTTCCAATTGATTGCTACACATAAAATACCATAGTTAAGCTTGAGTCATCAATATTCACATTAAAGTTAACAAGATTGAGGTATAGTATAATGCAAATTATATGCGAAAATAATTTTTAGCCAAACATCACCACCCCACACTTAAGCTCTTATTCGTCCTGGAGCAACCTAGCTAAGATCTTGCTAACTCACACGTGCACCACAAAACATCATATACATAGGAACATTTAGCAATTAAATCCACTACATTTATGACCACGGTTGATACCAGCAATTAAGCTCGTGCATGTGCATTTTCTATACTTTCCAACTTCACATGCCAAAATATGAGTAAACAATTCAAAACAATCAAACAACTTGCACATAACCACCTCACTTCAAAGACCGACTTATAGCCAGCTATTAAGCATATTCAACTTGTGCGCTTACCCAACAAGAAAAATTTAATAATGTCACGTATCTATCATGGGATCATGTGCCTCATCAAAGAACAAGAGAGCATATAGTTCATACATTCAAATATGAATTCGAATACAACTTAATGAAACACTTATATGAACAAAGAATCACTCACTCTCACAAATAAATTCATGTATATCCCAAAGTCGTATCATAGGCTTGCCCGTAGTGTATGTCTCTACTAATCTAAGCTTGCAAAGTCTGCGATCAATTAGGTCTTTACGGGTTGTAATGTAAGCTAAGAGACGGGTAGGATATATTTTGGTATATTGACTAACCCTCCTAGCCACTTTAATAAACTATACTTAATTTTCAAATACACATTCTTCATGACCAACTCGAAAAATGCCCTAAACCATTCACAATTTGGCTTTTTTTCTTTTAAGCACATCTATACATTAACTAGCCCGGATCAAGATAACTAGGAGGTTTATTTTCTATTTTTTTTCTTCACACTCTCAATACGTTTTTATTCTTTGTGCCGAGGGTCTATCAGAGACAGCCTTTCTACCTTCACAAAGGTAAGGGTAAGGTATGCGTACATCCTACCCTTCCCAGACACCACTTGTAGGATTCTCACTGGGTTTGTTGTTGTTGTTGTTATTGTTAAACTCTCCATAAGTTTGGTTTACTTGGCTAATGGTCTTTCAAAACATACGTGCGTACACCTTTTTGCCTTTTTATGGTTCCACTCAGAAGTTATCCCCAACTCTTCTCTTACTCTTCTAGCGACTTAAGTGCTTTCGGAGGTAAAAGTTTAAAAAGATCTAGTTAAGAATAAAATAGGATTTGTCTTGTCATGTGTGTACCAAAGAAGAGGTTTATAAGCTCATGGTCTATCTACGGATAGTTTTATTTATGGTTGCATAACAACTCAATGGACAATCGAAAAAACTTCCCTGTCATCTCCTGGACTTGCAAGACTTAATTATTTCACTTAGTCTAACACACGAGGGAGGTTCTAGACTAACACAGGATAGCGCAAAATACAATCAAGACCTCACATCACATAATGCACACGATCCATTCAGAACGGTTCTATTCCAGCTCTCAAGTTAAAGCAAGTAAGCACATAGTCAAGTCATATAAAGCAATAAAGCACTAGATGGACAAACGAGTCAAAAAATTGAGAGAAGGCATCACAAACAAGCTATTTAACTTATCTACGACATTAATTTTCATCAAAACATGTAGAAGGTAACTTGCATGCTAAGGCTTAACTATGCTAGTATCGAACAAGTCAAGAGGCACCTAGGAGCAATCAAGTCTTCTTTATTCAGCTATATTAAAAAAATAAAAATATCTGATTTAAGCTACATCCCTTTGAAAAGAACTGATGTCAAAAACAAATTAAGGGGGTTATTATCTACCTATGACTAACTAAAAATGAAAAAATATTTTTTCAAATTCTTTACATTGGACCATAATCCCTCAAGAAAGTTATTCAAGAAATTCATTGCCGGAAAAAGTTTAAACTTTTTCTGAAATGTTTGAAGTTTTATCCTTTTCCTTTTCAAAAAATAAATTAAGCTACTAAGCTCTATTACAAGTCTACACTAGTATACTACTAATTATCAAAGCAATCAAACATCAAAATCTAGCTACAAATTGAAAGCAAGAAGCTAAGCTCAATACTAATATACTACTATAATCCGACGAGAGTCCCCCATCCCACGTATAAAAAAGTGCAATGTCACTAATGCACATAACAAAAAAAATCAAACAAGAGTGTAGAAAGAAGGAGCTCCTTGGATGGCCAAAAGCTGAAGCATTAGCAGCTCATGTACTCAGACTTCTCTCAAGGATGGTCATTTAATTTGTGCGAGCACTTTACACTTAGTTCTAATCGTCTGGCTTGCTTTTGCACACATCCTACGGTTATTCTTCCCATGTTCATACTCCTGCATACCCAAAAATAATACTATAAAAATACACAATAAAAATAAATAAAAAAAGAAGCAAAGTTGAGTTGCTTCCCAACAAGCACCTAATTTAATATCGCTGCATGATGTGATCCACTTGCTCAAGTTAGATGCTCTAGTTTCCTCGTCCTCGAACTTATGAACTGAACCTTCAATTTGTTTTCAAGCTTTCGGCTATGCTCTAGTGGTGGACGTACAGGTGTAACTGGGTTGAGCAACCAATGTCACATTTTTTACTTCTTGGCCTTTAATTGAGGTATGTAATTCTGTCTTTTTAGTATGATATATTCAGAATGTAAGCATCTTGTTTCCTCGTCCGTTGACTTCTCTAAAGGCTCGAATGCCTCAATTTCCATTTTTTTTTATCTAAACACAATATAGAAAAATATGTGGACTGAGGTCCAATGCGCTCAAACCCCCAGAATCACGTTATTTTTTCATCCTTACTTTCACCCGCACTAGAGTCATCAAGAATGATATTATCCATTTTCTCACTTGTCTCTAATGTAATTTTCGCAACCTCGGCATATATCACCAACTACTATATGGTTGAATGGTTAAAATTCAACTTTTATCTCCTTAATCCGCTTTATAAGTTCTTCTTCAACTTCACACAACTTGTAATTAAGTTGTTGGCGTTAGACGCATTAACCTTCGCAGTCAACTTATGCTAAAAGTCATGAATAGCACCGTCAAATTGGCCAGTCTCTTTTCTAAGCTTAAATCTTCCTTCTACCAAGTGTCCCATTCCATCTGTAATTTTCTCGCATTGAGCCTCAAATATTTTCAATTTTTGAGCTTGTTCTATTAGACAAGTTTGGCTCAAAATCTCCACTTCTTCAAAATATTTCTCTTGGTGGAGCTCATTCATTTCTTCACTTTGAGGCTCTTCTAGAATACCAACTGAGCCCTCATATTATCGATTATCGAATGTTTCAACCAATTCTTTGACTTTGACCTTCATTTATTCATTGTTGCCTTGACATTTTCAAAGTCTTTTCGGCATTTATCAGTTTGCTCCACTAAACCATATTCATTATATGAGCATCACATCACATTATACTTGATAATCCGAATTATCTATGGTTGGCAGTTGACTTGATAGTTTATATAAATAACATGTTTCCACATCCGTTTATTTATAATATATTGACCCTATCTTCTTATGATATTGAATCTATCATGAATGAATATAATACGACATTCAACTAAGCGAGACTGTTAGGTGTATTTCTATCTTATAAACCGCGAATTCTTTCCCCTAACTATGGGTTCAGAAACAAGCTCTCTCTAGTTCTACTCTAATCTAAACATTGCTTTTCCAAGTATAACAAAGATAGTAGTGTAAATTGGTGGCCACACGATTCACAAACTGAAACTAGAATTATAAAAACAACCAACGATAATAACTTGAATTAACAAAGATGTAATTAATATACGTCAATATTCATGATAACCACAACTCTAGAAAATTGAGTTCTTAGCCACTCATAATTATAGTAACAATCATCCAAGCGTTTTGCATGAATAAATTACAAAGAAAAGATTAGGAATTAAGCACTCGATGTTTTTCGCCTCCAAAATTGCTTCGCATGCTGGTCTAGATTGACACTTTGATTGGATTTCTAGACAAGCGTCAGCAATCAATTACTCCCTCCTTCTCAGTCGGCGGGTACTTGACTGGTCATAGAGTATAAGAATAAATGAAAGATTTAATTTAAAACTTGTGGTTTAAAACAAGTCATAGACATTTCTATGAATATAAATCATTCCAGTAAGGATAGAATAATAAGATTAATATTAAATTATTTTTAAATATATAAATATGCCCTTTATTTGGCACAGTCTAAAAGGAAAGTGTATCTAATAAAATGGGAAAAGGGGATTACTATATGTTATCGTTGGGTCTCTAACTTTATTTTCATGCTAAAATGATCAGGCTGGTTTAGAAGCTTCATAGCTGATTATGGAGTTCCATTGATGGTTCTTGTGTGGTCAGCTCTCTCATTTATGGTTCCTGGCAAACTTCCATCTGGAGTTCCTAGAAGACTGTATAGTCCCCTTCCTTGGGAATCTGCTTCTTTATATCACTGGACTGTAATTAAGGTGGAGTGAAATTTCTGAAAGGTTCCATCTTTGACCAACTGGTTAATTATAAGAAATCTTTGGATTAATTTAACACTGCCTAATTAAATGCAGGATATGGGGAAGGTTCCTCCAGCATACATATTTGCTGCCGTGATACCAGCCTTGATGATAGCTGGACTCTATTTCTTCGATCACAGTGTTGCTTCTCAAATGGCACAACAAAAGGAGTTCAACCTAAAGAATCCTTCTGCTTATCATTATGATATCTTACTCTTGGGATTTATGGTATTCTCTATCATCTGTCATTATCTGTTGCTGTTTCAATAATCAAGATTCAAGACCAATAATATTGACATGGATTGAAACTTCTCCTTAGACTTTGCTATGTGGTTTGATTGGATTGCCTCCTTCAAATGGTGTCTTGCCACAGTCCCCTATGCATACTAAAAGCTTGGCTGTTCTTAAGAAACAGGTAAAACATAACCAAATTAATTTGTGAGAAGTTGTTATATATGCTACTGATGTAGTTTGTTGAATTTGAAAGTTAACGCTCTGTGTAATTAATGTTAACCAGCTGATTCGGAAGAAGATGGTTGAAAGTGCAAAGGAAAGTATCAGGCGAAAAGCTAGCAACTCCGAAATCTATGTCAACATGCAAACTGTGTTCATAGAAATAGACAGTTCTCCTGTTGTAAGTCTATTTTATCCAATTCTTGAGCGTTGATTCACTTTTCAAGTACTACTGAGACTCTTGACACATCGATCTTGTGCAGACTGCTGTAGTTAAAGAGTTGGAACACTTGAAGGAGGCAGTAATGAAACATGAATTAATTGAATATGAAAATGGTGAAAATTTAAATGGAAAATTTGATCCAGAGAAGCATATTGATGCTTACTTGCCCGTTCGAGTGAATGAACAAAGAGTGAGCAACCTATTGCAGTCACTACTAGTAGCAGCATCAGTAGGTGCAATGCCAGTGATAAAGAAGATACCAACATCACTTCTTTGGGGATATTTTGCATACATGGCTATTGACAGCCTGCCAGGAAATCAACTATGGGAAAGAATCTTGCTTCTCTTCATCACCCCTGGCAGGAGATTTAAGTAAGTTCATTCATTTTGTGGTACATGATATAATAAGTAATTACTCCCTCTAGTCCTTTTTACGTAATACTATTTCCTTTTTGTCTGTTCCGACAAGAATAACACTTTTTTATATTTAAAAATAATTTAATTTTAAACTTTTTATTTTAGCCTTAATGATATGCTTTTCCTGCTACAGAATTTAAGATGGCAAGTTCCAAAAATATTCTTTTCTTTCTTAAACTCTTTATCCAGTCAATTACGGTCACATAAATGATAAATGAAATGGAGAGAATAAATATATCAAAAGTGTTAGTTCTTTTTCCTAGCATTTAGTGGAAAGAAAGGGATATGGCAAATTATGTGATTTCTTGAAACATACCATGATGGCTGCAGGGTCCTAGAAGGGATGCATGCATCTTTTGTGGAGGCAGTACCATTCAAATACATGGCAATCTTCACTGTGTTCCAATTTGTGTTCTTACTTGTGTGCTTTGGAGTCACATGGATTCCCATAGCTGGCATTCTCTTCCCCTTGCCATTCTTTATTCTCATAAGCATAAGGCAGCATTTGCTTCCCAAGTTGTTCTACCCTCGTCATTTGCAAGAGCTTGATGCAGCTGAATATGGGGAAATTGCTGGTTCTCCACAACGTGCACTTAGCTTTTCTTTCAGTGTATGTCATGTCTCCTAACCTAATTCATTTTGGATTATCTTCATGACTTAAAACAAATCTATATATATATATATGCTGTCAAATTTATTAGGAAACGGAGGCAGCTCTTCCAAGAATTGAAGAAGCTGAAATTGAAATTTCTGATGCTGAGATTTTGGATGAACTTACGACCAGTAGAGGAGAGTTGAAAGTGAGGACAGCCAGCTCCGGCGAGGCCGATAAGCGCCCACAGGTACCTTGAGATCTATGAATATCGTACTCCATCTGTTTCAGTTTATGTGATATTATTTTCTTGTTAGTCTTAAAAATGACTTCTTTCTATGTCTAAAAACAATTAGAGTATGTTTTAAACTTCCAAATGCCATTTTGTCATGCTGTTATAGTCATAGAACTCTCATGGCACGTTGAAGACCGCAAGTTTAACAAAAATTTCTTTTTTTCTTTCTTAATTATTATGCTCAGTCAAACACCGAGACAAATTTGAAATGGAGGGAATAGTTTCCAAGTTGCTCGAAAAGGTTTTATTGACAGATATTAATGATACCTTTGCAGGTTCACCCCAACTGCTGACAGAATCTTGAGGGACAAGGTACTATATAGTGATGAATACAGGCGTATAATGTTTGTATAAACTATATATGAATGAACCAATGGAAGTTAAGAGCAATTTAAATCGATAACAAGATTTCCATGCATGGTTCTAAATGCTAGTGAAATTTTAAATATATTAGGTTGGTGTCACTGCAGATATGTGTCCATAGTTGTAAAGTGTATAATGCTACACAGATTCTAGGTCTAGCATCAGAGTGAACTGTACTGCAGTATATTCTAAAAGACCGTTTCTAGTTGATCCGATGATTATGAGTCATTGTTGTTAAATACTCCTATTGGTTTTGATGGACATTCTTCATTATTTCAGAGCATTATACAAGGAAATAGTCGAGGTCCAATGTATCCAAATATTTACATAATCAAGTTATTTTTATGATAAATATTAATTTGTAACATGATAAAATTGATAACTAACTTGATATCACAAGTTGAAATTCACTAATAGCATAGAAATATTTTTCAGTTACTAGTGTATATAACTATATCCATAAAAAATATACTTAAAAGAATTCTTTTAGCGTGTGCTTCATCGAATACTGTTTACAACACCCAGTAAATATAAAATTCATCTCTAATAATATGTAGTTATTATTTAATTTGAAATTTATTTTTTATTTTTAAATAACAAATAAATTATACACATTCAAATGCAGAGAAAAGAGATAATCTAATTATTCAATATTTAAATTTAGTGACAACATATTATTCTCTCTGTCCCGATTAATATAGCGGTTAGATTGAACATAAAATTAAGAAGAAAGAATATTTTTTAAATTTGTGGTCTAAATAAGCCATAGAAATTTATGTGGCTATAAATCATCTCATTAAGAATAACATGAGAATTTTAAAGTTCGTTTGTTTCTAAATAAGAAAGTATGTTATTTTTCTTGGAACAAACTAAAAAAAAAAGAGTATGAAGCGTAAATTAGGATAGACAAAATAACAATTAAATATGCATTCATATTTTAATATCTTAATCTTAGAAAACCAAAAAAATATATTATATTACAATTCTACTAATTTTTCTTATTTGTTGTAACCTGTCACGACCCAAAATTCTCCTTGGTCGTGATGGCACCGAATTCAATCTATTAGGAGAACCAACCACAATATAAACCCTAAACAAGACTAAATACATACAAAGTAATACATAAGTTTGAAATTTAATACAAGTGCGGAAAACATCCATAGAGTCCCCCAAGGAATGGTGTAACTAAGTCATGAGCTATTAGAAATGATAGTACATCAATGTCTGAAAATACATATGAATAGAAAGAACAGTAGTATAAAATAGATAGAAGTTGACTCCAAGGCAGTGCAAAACTGTCACGACCCAGAATTTCTCATCGACGGGATCGTGATGGCGCCTAACATTTGACTTTCTAGGCAAGCCAACATTAGAGAATCATTAAACCAATTCCTTATTTCCATTCAGTAATTAACAATAATTAACTAAGATGAAATATAATAAGTGCGGAATATCATAAAACTGTATTAATTACTACCACCCGGACCTGGAGTCACAATTCACGAGCATTCTAGAATTTACTATAAGTAATAGTCTGAAATAAATACAACTGTCTGAATGAAAAAAATAGTAGAACAGAAAAGATAGACGGGGACTTCAAGGTCTGTGGACGCCGACAGATCTACTTTGAGTCTCCGGACAGCGGACTAATAGCAAAATCTCGATCAACCCGAGTCGGTATCAAAATATGCACAGAAAGTGCATAGTGCAGTATCAATACAACCGACTACATGTACTGGTAAGTGTCGAGCCGAACCTCGACGAAGTAGCGACGAGGCTAAGTCAAGGCACTTACAAATCAACCTGTACAATTTAACAATGCATATACAAATAACAGAAATAAAAAACTAAACAGGAAATGTCGGGAGGGGAATATAGTGAGGGGAATACAAGATAAAGAACTACCACAGAATGATCACCGGAGCAGTCAATATACCATGAATCAACAGGAATAGTGAATACAATAAAGGAAAAATGCACGACATCAACATTCGTGCTTTTACTCTCAATCTCACCATAAAATCAATAGAAACAGCACGGCATCACCCTTCGTGCATTAACTCTCATATCATGGCACGACATCACCCTTCGTGCATTAACACTCACAATATGGCACGACATCACCCTTCGTGCATTAACACTCACAATATGGCACGATATCACCCTTCGTGCATTACCACTCACAATATGGCACGACATCACCCTTAGTGCATTAACACTCCCCCTTACCATAATGCAATGCATAAATAACAACAATGAGATAGAATAACAAGTACAAACCTTACTTCAACATTTGGTTCCACAATATAATTCTCAACTTTTAAATAAATACTCGATTACCAACAGAAAATTCATAAACATGATAATGATGATCAATTTAACAACACTAGTATAAACATGTAGCAATTAGGCATAGGAAAGAGATAATATAAAAAAATAACGAAAGAAACATGAAAAAATAGGTAAATTGGTGGCGCATAAGTACTCGTCACCACACATATATGCCGCTCACATGTATTTCACTTAGCAAATAATCTAAAGTTCCTAATTCCCTCAAGTCAGGGTTAGACACAACACTTACCTCGCTCTGAAGGTCACTTAATTCTCAATCACAGTTTTTCCTTTGGAATTCACCTCCAAACCACTCGTATCTATTCAAAAATGACTCAATAATATCAAATATTGCTAAAGAAATCAATTATATTGCACAAATTAAATTTCACAAATTTTTCTCCAAAAAGTCAAAAAATTGACCCCGGGCCCGCTTGGTCAAAACCCGAGGTTCGGACCAAAATTTATTTACCCATTCACCCCCGAGTCCGAATATATAATTGCTTTTGGAATCCGACCTCAAATTGAGGTCTAAATCCCCATATTTTCGAAATTCCTAGTTTCTATCCTAACTCCTAATTCTACCATAAAAACTCTAGATTTTAGGTTAATAATTCAAGAAATATAATGGGTAATTGAAAAAAAATGTGTTAGAATTACTTACCAACACTTTGGGGAAGAAAACGACTCTTGAAAATCGCCTCTACCTGTTTGGTTCTTGAAAAATATTGAAGAAATGGCTTAAACTCGTGTTTGATTCTGTTTTATGCACTGGGCAACAGCGTGCATCGCGTTCGCGAGGCCACTGTCGCGTTCGCGAAGGGTACTGGCTGCCAAGCCTTCGTGTTCGCGAGACCCTGCTCGCGTTCGCGATGGTTACTCCCCCTGGCCTTCGCGTTCAGGAGACATTGCTTGCGTTCGCGATGAAGGAATGACCAACCCTCGTCTAGGTGTTCCTAACACTACGCGTTCGCGAGGAGCTGGTAGCGTTCGCGAAAGGTAACGCCCCCATCACTTCGTTCGCGACTAATCCTTCGTGTTTGCAAAGAATAAACTTCAGCTGCCCAGTTTACTCTTCGCGTTCGCGAGAGTACCTCCGCGAAAGCGAAGAAGGACCTGCCAGAACACCTGCTACAGCAAAATACCAGATTTTCAAAGTCCAAAACATCCTGTGGCCTACCCGAAACTCACCCGTGCCCTCGGGGCTCCAAACCAAACATGCACACAAGTCTAAAAATATCATACGAACTTGCTCGCGTGATCAAATCGCCAAAATAACACCTAAAACTACGAATTTAGCACCAAATCAAATGAAATTCTCAAGAACACTTTTAAAATTCCTATCTTCTCAACTGGACGTCCGAATCATGTCAAATTAACTCCGTTTCTCACCAAATTTCACAGAAAACTCTTAAATATCATAACGAACCTGTACCGGACTCCGGAACCAAAATACGGACCCGATACTAACAATGCCAATCATCAATCAATTCTTAAAAATATATAATTTTCAGACTTTTAATTTTCATCAAAAATTCATAACTCAAGCTAGGGACCTCCGAATTTGATTCCGGGCATACGCCCAAGTCCCATAATTCGATATGAACCCACCGGGACCATCAAACCATGGATCTGGGCCCGTTTACCAAAAATATTGACCGAAGTCAAATAAAATCAACTTTTAAAGCATAAATTCTTATTTTCATCAATGTTTAACATAAAAGCTTTTCGAAAACCTGCCCCGTACTGCGCACGCAAATCGAGGAGGGTAAAAATGAGATTTAACAAACAAGTTCAATTTGAAAAACATTATCTCATCGAGGTTAAAGTCTTAACTCACCTCTATCTTAGACTAGCTCTATCCTTTATAAATTACCTTTTCTCGCTCTGAATCCGTCAAACAAGCTCGATATAAGCAAAAGCATACTCAAAAAAGTTAAACAACGCTAAAGAAACCAATTCCATAAGTCAAATCTAGCCCGAAATCAAAGCCAACCTAAAAGTCAACGACGGGCCCACGCGGTCAAACCCGAAACTAAAGTAAAATATTGTTGACCTATAACTTTTTGAATCTAAATCTATGCTTATATCTCCATTTAGAGTCCGCTCAGATTATCAAAATCCAATTTAGGTGATTCTAGATTTAGGTCTCAGATTCTTAAATTTCACCTTGAATTCATGTTCAAATGGTAGTTCCTAGGTTAGATTCATAAAATATTTTTATTTAGATCCAAGTTAGAATGACTTATATGTCATACCCCAAAATGGATTGCGACATGGACGGCATCCAGTGCCTGCCAAATTGCACCGAGCGAACTCGAATGATGCAGTACATATCCAAATCACACTCACGTGATCCAATTCATTTCATTAATAATAATTTTAACTAATTGAAGTGAAATAAACATCAATAATTTTAAATGAGACATAATCGTGAATATCATTTGCAAATCAGTTCATGTAGCTATACTCCAAAATAATACAAGTTTATGTATGGAACCTCTATAGCGCTATGAATGAATAATTAAGGAAATAGGTAAGGCCGGTACTATATAAAAGAAATAGAATACAACAACATGGTTTCAACGATCTCAAAGTAAGATCACCAAATGTGTGAAGGATGCATGAATTATGATGATCCAGTCGATTATTTTGTGTATTGTAGCCCCGTTCCCCCATTTATCACTTCTTTTATTCTTAATTATGCTTATGTAACTTGCCGGGGTGGTTGGTTTGGTTTCACAGAGTGAATTGGGACACTTAGTTCCAAGGTTGGAAGCTTACTTGAAAGAGTTGACAGATATTGACTTTTATGTAGACGACTCCGAAATAGAGTTTTCACGGTTCCGATAGTTTTGTATGGTAAATTTGGACTTAGGAGTATGTCCAGATATCGATTTGGAGGTCCGTAGGTTGTTTTAGATTAAATTGGCGAAAGGTGGAAAGTTGAAGGTTTGAAAGGTTGAGAAGTTTGACCGA